GCAGCTGTACATAGGCATATAATCTATAACCTGTACCCTATAACCTATTTTTATCTCTTCCTCTTTTACTCGGTACAGTGCTTGCCACGTGTGATTCCACTAAATGTTGGAGGATACAATTTTGTAACCACGCTGTCAACGCTCACCAAGGACAAAGACTCAATGCTGGCGGCTATGTTTAGCGGAAGACACACCCTGGATACTGACAGTGAGGGGCGATACTTTATTGACCGCGATGGGACGTATTTCAAGTACATTCTAAATTTTCTTAGAGATAGAAATCAGCTGCCTTCGGCTGATGTTGCGCTTGAGGTAAGGATCACATTTGCATGCTTTTGGTCATGAATATAGAGACTATAATTGAAATATTAGGGGAAAATAAACGCAAAGAACAAGACGAGAAATCACAGCAGATTTGAGAATCTTCTGTAAAGGTTTTTAGACAAAGAGAAGAGAGGGAAAGATAAGGAGATCGAGGGGCTGTTAGCCTGCGAGCAGGTTCAATTGTGCGAGTTCGGGGAAGATTTTGGCGGCGCAGACGCAGATACCTAACCTCGTCCCCAGGGCGCTTTCCACCTCCAAAGCCAGGGAAAAGGGCCCTGGGGACGAGGTTAGGTATCTGCGTCTCTTCCCACAAAGTACCGCATGACTCGCATTCAATCATCTTCCCCTGCCGAAAATCATTTAAACGAGGATTGGGGACGATTCCTCTTATTCACTTTAATGACTGCTGTCGTTTGCCCCGTGACCCGAGGATGGTGTGGTTGACACTTCAGCTTTTCTTCTTTACCTTTCCAGGTATATAAAGAAGCACAGTTCTACCAACTAGAAGATCTAGTACAAATACTAGAACGGTTCTCTGTCGTGTTCTCAAACAAGTTGGAAAACGCGCGCAAAATGAAACTCGGGAACGACTTCTCCAAATGGCAGCAAGACATCATTGCACAGGCGCAGAAAAATAGCCTACAGAACCTCGCCTCCACGAGTAAGGTAAGCCTGCTGTCACTCGAGGATCACAAGAAAATTAAAGAATGCGGAGAATGCGTGGGTCCACATGCGCACAATCTGGTGGTATCCAAATCGGCTAAACAGGGTTTAGTACACCATCAGGAAACATTTGAGTACGTACAGAGAAGGTTTAAAGAGACAGATCTAGTCGTTTGCTTTCTGAACAACACGGAAATGAAATTGTTTGTCGGCATCACCGAGGCGGACTTGAAGAACAATGGTTACTGCTGCACTTTCCGCGAAGAGAAAATACGCTGCAAGAACTTTAAAGTTCATTATGGAATAGGCAAAGAGGAGTGCCGCTTTAATGTCACGGAGCACATAGTGGAGTTTGAATGGTAAAACATAGAGCATAACATTGTGGTGTAGGGGTTGGGGTCCAGTGGCCCTCCATTTTCAATAGGACAATAGTCCAGTTTCGAGTTGGCTAGGACCACTGAATTAAAGAAGTGAAGACGCATTTTTTACAGGCTTAGCCTCCATCTGAGGTAATATATTCACAAATTCCAACCAGAAAAAGACTTGTTTATTACTCTGTCTATTGTGTATATTCAAATTTCAAACACTTACTTGACGGAATTTCTGAATATTTTACTTTACGTCGAGGCTAACCCTGTATAAATGTGCCGTTAATGTTTGTATTCAGCGGTAATTTTTTATTCGAAACTGGACTATTGCACTATGATGTCATTTTACTACAACTACCAGAATCCTTTGGAGTGTTGTTTTCTTGTGCAAATTAAGGCCAGTGTTCTTTAATTCTCAGCGGGATTGGCAAATTTAAATAAGAAAGCAAAAACGAAATGAATTCTGGTATTTGTAGTCAAATGCCGTCATCGTGAAAATGGCCTATTTCAATTGGATTCCTAGGACTCAATAGACCCTAGAGGATTGTTGCATGCATTAAGCTATCAATTCATCGCTCGACTCCATGCATATACAGTGAACTCGTGGTCGATGGTAAATCTCTCGTCTTTTTAGTTTAGGTTAGAATTTGTACATAAAGTATTTCGGTCCTAACGAAACATGTGGCTTTTGTCCAGTTTCTTTCAATGCAGAATTGACAAATAGCGGCTATTTCAGCCAATCAAATCGCAGGATTTAAGATAGAATACCAATAGAATTTTAATATTACTAATAATTATAAATGGTTTATGACTAGTTTACGAAGAATAATTTTCCAAGAAAATAGCAAGATTTCCCACAAAGTTTTGAGGATATTTTATTTATTAAAACATTAAAGTATTAAAAATAGTTATTTACGTTGAGACGATAGTTGCGTAAATGCGACTGCATAATAATATATTATATATGACGAAAATATGAAAAGAGTTATAGCTACAGAATGAACATATTAAAGACAAAAACTGCGTTGGTACTCAATCATATTTGAAAAGGTGCCTCTGATAAACTTTTGTACTTTACGACGTTATTGTTGTTTTCGTTGTTTATGTTAATGTTATAAGTTATCCTGTCATTAGATTCTGTGGATTAATTCTAAATCGTGACCATTCAAACGAAATCCACAGTGAATGCGCAAGGTGCTTCTAGCTTTTCAAGCTGCGTGTAACCATTCAGAGCAGTACTTTCCGGTAGCTGTCTTTATTACTCTGTACAACGTAGTTCTAACTAACGGATAAGTGTTACCTGAAAGTTACTTAGCAGTGGTTTCCGGTCGCACTGTTAATCCTTCAAGTGAAAGAGTTGGTTTCAAATGAAAGGGAGGGAGGAAGGGAGAAAAAAATTGGGGCGCTTTTCATTCAAGAAAAATTTCGGTTTGAATTTCAGAAAATCCCACGTGCCCAGTGGAACGGTAAATTCCCGTTGCACAGACACGACCCAAGCCACCGCGCGTTTGATTATTGTCCTTATAAGAGGGGTACAGAAGAGTGTTACTGGGACAATAATTTTTCAAATGGAAGGAGAATTTCGGCCTGACCGGTGAAAGAAGACCTTTCATAGGTGCTCTCAAATATTCCAGGCGGTCGGACTAACCTGAAATGGTACGTAACAATTGATTTTACACCGAAATTTCGGGAATATTGGGCTGAACGGAAAGCGACCCAAGTCTTGTAAACTAGATTAAACCAATTTACCACGGCAAAAATACAAACAGCAGCAGATTTCTCTGATTTTTTCAACTCTCTCGCGTCTAAACATAGTACTGTACAATTTTTTTCAATCATCCATTCCTAAAGTTCGGTTACTATGATTTTCTTTTTCGTTAACTTGCACTTTCCTCTTTATCTTTTCCTTTCTTTGACTTTGCGCTCGTCTTGCGCAGTGATCTTAGTAAGACGTAGTTTAAATACGTTGTGTGGCGGTAGGAAACGAACGGGATATAAAATGCCCTGAAGACACGGTGAGATCTGAAAACACAACAAACAGTCTTTCAAAATTCTAGAACAAAAGGGGGATCAATTTAGGTTTCAGGAAAACTGCGCACCTACCCCTCCCCTAAGCCAACATTTTGCCCCAAACGAGAAGTAAGCGTTAATGTTGGCTTAGGGGAGGGGTAGGTGGGCATTTTCCCAGAAATCTAAATTGATCCCAAAAGAGAACCTTATGGGAGGGGAGAAAGGGTAAACTCTTTGATAAGGGTGGGGAAAGGGATTAACTGGTCACCAGAACACTCAAGCAAAAAGGGCAAACGTTTCCTTGTGAAGAGGAGTTCCTGAGGGTAGGAGTAGCGATAATAAAATGGTATGTGAGGAGAGGTTTGGTTAGATTCTGCGTCTAAAACAGACTTGAAAAGACAAAGCTTTGCACTTCTATCTTCATGTTCTCCACAACGTAAACCTTAAAAACTCACGGGTTTAAAGAACATGTCACATTACTAACCTCTCAGCGTCCAGAAACGGCTTTTTTAGTAGAACCTCCCACTCTTTTGTTCGTTTGGCGAAGTCTGGTTCTCTTTCAGTTTCTCTGCCTGTCTCTAGATCCACAAGGAAATCGCACTTTGTAACAGAAATCTTAAAAAGAACAAAGAGCCCCATGAGACTCGCTTTCAATGATAACACTACAACCATGGACAAGTCTTAGGACACTTTTGCATTTGTGGGGCTTTTTTCAGTTCACATATGCCCAACCCTTCCCCCATTCCACAAGCACCGTTGGACGCGTGTAGGGTGGGGAGAGGGAGAACTGCAAGAAAATTACGAAAAGGTGCACTGTTTTATGAAGACGCCAAGAAATTACAGAAAATTATGAATAATGCATTAATGTCCCAAGGACTTTTGTCCCGTGTTGTAGTATTACACCAGGCAGTTAGAAAAATAAACTTGTTCAACGGAATAGAGACCACCTCTCTTGTAATTATTCAACAACGTTCGAAATGTTTTAACATTTAAAAATGGTCTATTTTATAACTCTACATAGCATAAAACCTTTGTCGAAAATTTGTTGAACAGTCACTGCAACTTTGTTAATCATCAAATGTTGAGACTGAAGATCAATGGCTGAAGATGAAAAAGCTTATTCTCGTAACATTTCCCCTCACATTTCTTAGGGCAACAATGAGGAAAAGTTGTTAAAAATCAGGGCATTAGAAACCTTGATATTCATTCTTTTTCTTCTCAGGTATCAATGCATGACGACAACGGATAAATTACACCTTTTAAAAACAGCGCGCCTACACCTTTTAAAAACAACATACAGAGGGAGAAATCAACGTTGCACAAACAAGTGCGCCATAAGAATTCAAACCTGGTCTTTCTTTTGCACTCATTTTTTTCTCCAAAGCTTTCTTTTCGTTTGATTTTACTTTTTCGTCAAGCATAATCCCTAAAACATTCCAACACCGCCGCCATCATCATCATCATCATCATCATCATCGTCATCATAATCATCACATATTATCGCCACCAACACTTCGACCACTTACTTACGCATGCAGTTACTACCACCACTAACTTACCGTGACCAATAACTCACTTATCACACCTTTACTTACATATCTTGAGGGCTCTTCTTCGTTCATGTCGTTCATCTGCGTCGGGATTATTTTAGTGGCGTTAGGTGCGTTGTTGTAAGGCTTTGGCAACTGGCCACGGAATTCGGAGCGAATAAATTGGAGGTACCACCTAGCATAAATCATATAAAACGTGGTAATCAGTATGAAGCTCTGGTAATAGACATGAGAAGTGTGATGTCATCTTACCATGGTAGCAGTAGTTCTGGATGACAACAAAATCAAAGACGACGGCGACGGCAAGGAGAACGGCAAAAAATAATATGTTTATGTTAACAAACAACAACTTTGCACGTGCGTCACGCTTTTTTGTACATTTCTTTGCCGTCGTTGCACCACTACGACGTGAAACTTACTAATTTCACGAGCCCGCTTTATGGAGTAGGTCAACACAACACAAAAATTGTCGCTTTCTTTTTCTAAACTTAGATAACGATAGATACGGTCCCAAAGAAAATTTCACCAAAATTTATCAAATTAAATGAAATTGAATAAGATCGGTAAAGTTTGAAATAGTGCGAATAGACTTTTAAGTGAATTTATCGGTTTGTTGTCATCCAAAAATTTTGCTACCATGGCAACGTGACGTAACGACTTCTTCTTTCTGTTGGCGACAAAATTTGGAGCAAAAAAATATAAATAAACAGAGGGTACGGTTGACTTTCTGCGGCTTGAATCTTCGGTAACTCAAAACTCGCAATAACTTGACGCTTCGCTAACCCACTTCCATTTTCTCTTTACGTCAGGTCATCTTCATAAATTAACACCCTACATCACTTATTCCTTATTTTGTTTCTAAATAAAAAGTTCATAATCAAAAGTTGTTCAATGTTTACCCCCCCCCCCCCCCCCCCACCAATAAAAATGTTTTAAAAATCTATTTTCTCCACTAAAAACTCCTTTTCACAAAATAAAAAAAAAAGACAAACAAAAAATTTTTTTTTTTTTTTTTAAAAGAGATTTTTGATACACAATAATATATTTTTGCGACACCACAAACAATAAAAAAAAATTAACACCCTTCATATCCTTTTCCTTTTTTTTTTTCTAAATAAAAAATTCAAAAACAAAAGTTTTTCAATGTTTACCCCCCCCCCCCCCCTGATAGTTAAAGATGTCTTCAAAACTGTTCTTCACCATTTAAGAGCTCTTGCTAAGGAAATCTACAAGAGTCAGTACAATGGTTACTTTTATTCTTCTGGAAACGGATGTCTTCAAAGCTACTACTTTAGCTCTGCTACCAAGCCAATTAATAACGAACTAAACACACGTAGCTAAATTGCAGACATGTTTGGGTTAGCTGACTATGAGAGCATGCTACTCTATATCCTGTAGCTTAACAAATCAAGGAACAATATACCTGCGTAGTCGTTAATGGCAAGTACTTTAGAACCAATAAAATGCTAGAGGTGAAACTGCATGGCAGGACTAGACATCCAAAACACGAATCCTTGCGTTGGTAAAACCCAAGGTCAGCTTTAATTGTCAAGAAAGCCTACTTTAAGGATCGACATTCAAGTTAAACAAATCCGAGAAACAGACAACACTACTCGAAAAAGCAGGAACTATGAGTGAGGGCTAAACCTTGAAGAACCTTGGACTATGAATCATTAATAATAAAACTATGAACTTATCATTACGCAAAAAAACAACAACAAACAAACAATTTTAAATACTTAAAACCACTGCTTCACACATTACTGTAAATACTCATGGTGCTCATTTCAAATTGTGCTAATTTCCCTACAAAATGTCCTTCAAAGAGAGTTAGCTCCGTAACCGCATCTTTCACCAAGAAACTCATTAAACCGTGAACGCTGGAAATATTTCTGAAAAATTAATGTGATGCAAGAAAAAAGCCAATCGGGCGTGAGAAAATTAGTTCGTGGTTTTGACTGAGGTTTGTTTTCCTTTAACGCAGGAGTCTATGTGATAAACTCCTGTTTAACGTTATTGCGATTTTAAATATCAAAACTGAATCAAAGGTTCACGATTTTGTGACTCGCGCAGTAATTAAAGGCGTTTAAGCACATTCTTGGTCCAAACTGGATTAGGTGAAATAATGCGTGGCTCCACAGCTAAGGGGAATAATATAAAACAAACGAAATTAAATTACATTTTAAGGGTCAAGGAGCCTGGGTGGTCTGTTTGAGCACGAGCAACCTCGTTGTAAAAAAAAAAAAAAAGGTAAATTGCTTGTTTACCCTCGAAGCACCTAGGAGTTCATATGAACTCGTTTAAACGTGTCAACTCGTTCCCAGGGAGGAAGAGAGAGAAACCTGGGAAAGAGACTCGGGCGCGCGTCGCAAAGTCGTCACTTCACTGTTTGGGAATTTATACGGCATTTAACATGATTTCGTCATCCACACTGACACACAAAGGTACAAAATAAAATAACCTTGTTATATAAATGTTCCTTTACAACTTCCGACAACAAAGAGCCTTAGTAACGTAATGGTCTTAACTCGATCCAAATAAAGATGACGGGTTCATTCTTCGAATATACGGCAAACACATCAAAAGACTATTGCCTTAACTAAGTCGCTATTTTATGGAATTTATTTTGATAAACCTTCTTTGCCTCCCAGCATTTTTCATAACTATTGTTTCCAGTTTGTCTTAAGTATTACAGTCGTCACCAAAGAGATTGAAGGCAATGCTTATTCAAGATTAACTGTTGCTTGGGATTATACTCCTTACCTGGTATCTCTTACCATGTGTACCAGTGGTTTTTCCCGCGTGCGACGAGGAGCTTCGTCGACTGCAAGCAGAAACGTTTTCGGCCGAAGGCCGAAGACACGAAAGACTTAACCGAAACCAGAAACCGCGTATGAAAAACCTCTGGCATTCAGGGTAAGTATCACTTTGTCCCATCCTTTCTTCACGTTTCCCAAAAAATGATGCCAGAGAGAAGCATATTTTAACTTAAACTTTAAGTATTACCTTTCTGAGGGTAAAAAGAAGCTGCTTGGATATCGGTACCATTCCTTGCCAACACACAAGTTAATTCGCTTGTTAGCAGGGAAGGGATGTTCTAATGTTGATGACATGTGGTTCAGCTCTACATACAAGTCCAGTGGAGCATGGTAACCTAGGAAAATAAACTAACATTTAGTCTCTTTTAACAGAAAAGATTCACTTAAATTACTCTTTATGTTAGGAAATTAATTCTCCACAAAATTCAAGTCGCGTTAATTTCTTCAGTTCAAGCTAGCCATACAGAATATCCTTAGTGCCAAGAACTGAAGGAAAACACGAGTGCGTTAATTTCGTTCATTCAGGATATCAAGGTTCTCGTTCGTTCACGTTATTCAACTCTCTAACACTTCTGTACGTTGCAAAGCGACGAGTTCTAAATGAACGTAACAAAGGAAGCAACAGCAAACAGTTAGAAGCATGTTTTACACCCACCAAGAGTTGACAAATCGGAATCACCTCAAATAAACTTACACGTTAAGAAAAAACTAAATATATCTCTTACGCCAATAAAACGGTGGCTGAGAGGGGAAAGCGCACGTCAACGCAGGCAAACAAACGGGCCTCGATTTCAGGATTTTCTCTTAACCCTTGGAACGAGGTTCGCACAGAACATTAGGCGGTTATACACCATTAAGACACGGCTCGGATCTACCAAAAAGCTACCAAAGTTTGGCACAGAGCACGTAGGTTGAATACCTGCTTCGTCCTATAAGGTAATTGTTTGGTCACAATTTGATGTTTAATATACTACCGATATGTTTTGATGAAGGGTCCAAGACTGACATGACTGATTTTCAGGGAAAACAGGCGAATGCGCTGTCTGTATAAATGAACGGGAGGGGCCGGATGCACTGTGGGAAAATTTGAGTTCATTATGTAGCTAGTAAATACGCAGAAAATTACGAACTCGAAGTACTTTCCGGTAGAAATGTTTTTTTATGCAGTATAAGAAAGGTCTAAACTAGGAGTGTGATCCAGGAGGAAATCCTAAAGTGTGACCATTCAAGAGAGAGCAAATCAGGCGGTTCTACTTTTGAGTACGGGGACGGAATTCTTTGGTGTGACCAATCAAATGATGGCTATCCAGCAATACTCTCCCGTGGAAATGTTTGTTATGCTGTTCAAGTTGGCTCTGATTTTTGAGCACAAGAACAAAATCCTAAGGTGTTACCGAATAGTACTTTTCTATCGTACTGTTAATCATAGAGGTTTTACTTTTGACTCTAGCATGGCAAATCAAATGTAAACTACTGTCCAGTACATTCAGCTTTAATGTCCCGTTGTAGTTTTCGTTGTTGTGTGCAATATGATTCTACTTTTTAGCTCTGTGGATGAAATTCTATCTGGAAGTGACCACTCAGAAGAATCTTTCTATGCATTACCTTCACATTGTACTATTGTTTAATCTGTACTTCTTTTCTTTTTTTCTCTCATAACGGAACTTATTAAAGCTATTCAATGAACCTTGCAAAAGAGAGTTAATACTAACCATAATAAAGAGCGCTAGATCGCGAAAGAGACAACAAAGAAAAAAGAACGCTGACGAAAACTGCAAACCAGGTTGAAGAGGCGGCGTAATGCTGCCTCATGTTACTGAAGAACAGGAAATGAAAAAGTTTCTGCGAAAAAAAAAAACAGTATAAGAGTTAAAATTAAGAAAACAGTATGAAAGTTTTAAAAAGTCACAGATACAAAAAATAGCTCTCCAGAGGGAGAACGCTATCACAGTTTTTGTTATGTCTGTTTTCACTTGCGATTTTATCGGCTTGCTATTTCATATAAGCATGAAATGCAGCCTGCTTTGTCGAAGAAAATAGAGCGTGATTTCTTACATCGAAGAAAAAAACTTTCGACTTACAAGATGATGCTTATCTATCTGGCGCAACAAGTTACGCTTCACCTTCACCTCATATAGCACGCTGATGACTAGCGTCGAAGAAAGACTGACATCTGACATCGAGAAAAATATACTTTTCGACACAACTGGTCACGCTTATTTCTCTGACTTCACCTTCATGTTGCGTAGCATTGCCGATGACAACAATTATCCCTTTTTTGCAAAATTTCTTTTGACTAGAAAGAAATAAATTGATATAATGACAAGCAATGACTGGAGTGTAAAAGAATCTCCTTGTATTTTGCATCTGGCCTTCAGAATTATCGCTTCTCTTACGTGTTTCAGTTTCAGTTTCAACACAAAAATAACTATAAAAAGTGCTGATTGTCCATTTTGAACTTGCCCATACACTGAGTCGGTGTTGTGTCGTCGAATAAGATAGACTGTGGAATTGTTTAAGGGAACGAATTTTGGTCCAGCTTCCCGCGCAATCTTGTAATAGCCAATAAAAGCGGCGTCCCCAAAACAGTGCCATGATGCAATTCGGCGTGTAACACCAGCGCTCTACCGACAGAGCTTACTTTCGCGACAGATAAAAACATTATAAAGTCAACAGGAATGGAACAATAACAATTAACGTACTTGTGTTTCTGTGAGTGTCACAGCGCCATACGCACAGACGAAGGGATAAATAGGAAATAAAAATCTCTCCTCCTAGGCCAGAAATATAACACAAAATAAATCAATTAAAATAAACTTGTGTCATTACTTAGCAATACATTATTGTATTAACCTTTTGTTTTTAACACAGCCAGAAAGCTTCAAATTTGTCTTCCTATTCCCATCAGTCGTTATCCAGCTCTCACCAATAATAGAGAACCCCTCTAGATTCAAAGACGAGGACGACTGGTAGCTTTCTTTTACTTTTCCTACCAGAAAAATTAGTATACTACTACATGAGAAATTTCTGCAAATTGATTGGCTTAGAGCAGTGGTATTTCAGCTTAATTTGAAATACCTACATGTGAAAATTACAAACCTTTTGCGGTTAGTAGTATGAACAAATAATAGCATGATTTGTACGTGATATTTCAACAGGTCGCAACAGGTCACCCAACAGCTAGTTTGTTTTTTAACAGATCAGAATTTGGTGGGGGTTCATTCGGCAAAGGAACGCCTTAGTATCCCTTCACTCAAGTTTGGCTCATTTATTTTTATGGCAGCTTCGAACTCTCCTGGCAAGAATCTCCCACCTTATAGATCTAGATATGGATGTACATGACAGTTTTCTCGAAGCTGTAAAATAGTTTTTTTTTCTTACCTTATGAGGTCGGGTAAAGAATATTAAAATCCAGATGTACATTCCAGATAATGCTAACCAGATTGGTAATACTGAAGAGGGGACTAAACAGAGAAAGATGATAAAACAAAGAAGGCTAGTCACGTTATTTTAAGGAAATTCATATTTTTTATTAACCAAGCGCCAGGCCAAGATAGCTGGCGTGCGTTTTTATGGACCAAGATGAATTTGAGGGAACAGAGCCAATATTCTGCCAGCTTGATTGAACAACATTGGCAAATAAAGGATTTTTTGCACGGGCAAAACAAAATCTTTACTTGCGGGCAACCCCAGGAGGGCAAGATAGACTCATCTGTGTTCTGTGGAGGAGGAGGAGGGGGGAGGGGGGATAGAAGAATAACAACTAAGTGCAAGGAACATTTTTGATTACGACTGAAGCTTAATTCGAGTTTAATGACTTGAAAACAAATATGATTGTTATCGATGATATAGTAATAAGGTATGGGGATCACTCTGTCCTGGGACAAGTTTAAGACCAGCCGAAAGTAGAAACAAGGAGGATCACCCTGTCTTTCTTGGTATTTTCTTTTTGGGGGGGGGGGGGGGCGGGGGATACAGCATTTTTTTATAATGGGGTGTATGGTGGGTGGGGTAAGAAGTAACACTAAAGTTATTTTTAAAATTTTTTTGTTTTTAAAATACACGGGTTCTTCTTCCAAATTACACCATTTTTTACTGTTTTTCTCTTGTTATTAACAGAAGACAGTGGGGCCACACCGGCGGGTCGAGAGTTTGAACCAAGGGACAGTGAAAAGGGGAGGGGGTGCCCCTTTGTTGTTTTGGTTTTTTTTTGTGGGGGGGGGGGGGGGGGAGGATGGAACGCCAGTCTTGTCACTATCGGGGACTCGAGTGGAGGGATAAAGGAAAACACGTGTAACTTCTTTAATAGTCTTATTTGTATAATAACCAGGGTACACTTCCTAATGCATATCGATTTTGCATAGTTTATCGTTCATGTTTGCAACTAGGAAGCGTGTTTTTTTGTTTTTCAATGAAGTGAATACACAACGCTTACGCCGAAGACCTTTGACTTGCTATGACGAGGGATTGGAACTACTGAACCGATGTACGGTGGCTAATTTATTTAACAAAACATCCGATAAAGTGAAACCCCGCCTTACGACCATAGTCTGCTTTTTTCCCGGGATTTCAGGGTGGTCCGAGGTGTTGCTAACAAACATTACAGTTACCTACTGTGCTGCGATGTGGGTATTACTCAGTATGTTTTCAATCGTTTGAATGACGTCATTCAGTGATTCCCCATCTACACTTGCCTGACCGCTCCTCTACAGGCTATTTCGAACCAAAGCAGGAAGAGTGGTATCAATGCGAGGGTACTGGAGACGAGTGAGGTGCTCAAGCAGGAAAAGAAGGATCGAAGATGGCTGGGGGAGAGATGATTTGACGGTATGGTAACCGAATTCTACCGTCAAATTTCTGTTTTACACTACCCCACGGGCACAGTACCACCGATTTCTTAGAAACCAACTCCTTTACCTCTGTCTTACAGACTTGGATGGCACCCATGTAACAGGTCTGGTAGCCTATGACCAAGCTCCCTATGTGAGAAATATTGGGAGAAGACACGCGCGTGGAGCAAGAGGTGGGGCCGCTCGCTCCCGCGTTGTCCTGGTTTGCTCGAAATGGAGAGCTTGTTCGCAGGTTAGTGGCAGGCTATAGGTTTGCCTTTGTACGTTACCCACAACGCTTTTTATATCTTTGTTAATCACTTACACTTCTTTTCCTGCGTTTGCGCAATTATAAACTTGACAAAAGCCTGTTGCAAAAAAACATAATACAGTATTAACTTTTAAGTTACTAGGCGACATTTTAAACGTCTGAAAGTTTTCGCACATTACTCGATTAAGTTTTTGGCATGGCTGGGTCGATCGAGACAATCAAAATGATTGTATGAGAACCATTCAGTATCTAGACTTCAGTCATATCCTGGGCTGGGTTGTTCAAAGCTGTTATGATAACCGAGGGTAAGTGCGATATGAAAGCTTTAAAAGCAAATTACCTTTAAGTATTAATTATTTTTGTGTACATATTGTTCAATGGATGCTCTACAAAGAATTGGAGAAACCACTCCGACAGAATGCGTTTAAACCAGAGAAAAAGAAACCCAGATTAAAATTCTGCCCCAGATTAGCGCTAATTGGTCTTTGAACAACTGAGCCCAAGGATCGTCCCACATAGCATCGGAGGTGTTTCAATATGATTCTCCTCATCGTCTGAACACATTTTGAGACGACTCCGGACTTGAAACAATCTAAACGATTATATGGAAACAAGGATTAAAGCACCTACCCATGGCTTAACTCTTGTACCAGGGGCGTAGCCAGGATTTTTCCAGAAGTGCGCACAATTTTCCAATGTTCTACGCCTACCCCTCCCCTCCCCTCCCCACCCCTTAAGTCCTAAGTCTTTTTCAGGCCTTGATTTAAGGTGAGGCTGATGAACAACGCGTTCACGATTATATTCCTCCGGCTGGCTATCTGCACGGGATTGTCGCGCTTTTTCTCTGAATATATTTAATGAGCCACGTCACTTCGCTGGAAAAGGACATTGGGATGTGCGAAGAGCAAAGTATCTTGTTTCATAAACAAACATATTTTGAAGAGACAAGCACAGTTAAATAATCTGAGACAAACTTTCCTTTTTAATTGAAAGGTTGTTGGGAAAAATGTGCACGCGACAGTCCCGAAAGGTAATATGGGAGATGATCAATACACTGTTCCTGAGACTCAAGCTGTCGAGCCTACTTTTGTCGCTTCATTTAGCACTCGCAAACATACGTCCATGGCCCTTCGTGCCATTCTTTCAAATTTCTTTCTTCCACCCACAAGACATTTTGGGATTGTCGCGTGCACTTTTTCCAACAACCTTTCTCGAAATTGCTGTATGCAGAGAACGCACACGCAAGCTCGAATTTGAAAAAACTTGACAACTTTACCTAATTTACCCATTTCCTTGATGGCAGAAACTTGGAAAATCTTAACAAACATGCTGCATCAAAGTTTTTTTCGCTTAGGTTAACATTATGAGACGGGAAACCGGTATTTTGATACAATCTTTTCTGCAAAACAAGGTGTGATTACGTGTACATGTATGGCGCTCTGTGGTCACGTGTTTTCAAAGCACGTGATTGCAGAAAATGGGCGTGACCCTTTATTAGCGTGACCTAGGCACCAGAGGATCAAATGGAAAGTTGCATTGGCTTAGCTTTTGTAACTGTGCAGACTTGAAGTTTTAAATGAATTTAGCAGTAACATTTATCATGTACTTACACAAACAGGCAGAGCGAGCAGAGCCATAGGAAACACAATATTAAAGTTTAAAAAACCATTTAGGAAGTAAAATGTCCATGGTTCTACACCTGGGAGGTAAAATAAAAACACGAAAAAACATTACAACCACCAACATGGTACAGATAAGAATAACGTATCCTAAGGAGTAATCAAATGAAAGATAATATATAGTACTGTTTACTATGCTGACTGTAGCCTGCGAGCAGGCTCTCAAGCAAGCGAAGCTAGCCGCGCGAGAACGCACGAGCAAGCAGCGAAGACGCGCGATATAGAGGAAAGGAAAGCTCTCCCTTCTTTCCACCCCCCTCGCACTCGCGTGTCCCTTCGCGTGCTGCTCTCGCGTGACTTCTCCCGACTCCTCCAAATGGAGAGCTTGCTCGCAGGCTATGCTGACTGTACAGGATGGTTCTACATGTAACTTTTGTATCCTATAGAGTGACCAGTCAAATGTAAGTAGACTGGGTGGGTAAAAGAAGTTGAAATCAGTTGGAATTTTCGTCATGGTAATTCATTAAACTAATAAACAATGTATCAATGAATTAATTGCAAAGAAGATCATACATCGCATATAAAGAAGTTACAAAAAGAAAGCCTAAAAACATTCAGGCTTGCCGGGATTCGAACCCTGACCTCTACAATACTAATAAGGTAAAGGTCAGGCGCACACGAGCCAAAAGACCAAGCAGCTGTATGCTTATCCCGGTTTCCTTAGCATGAAGCATGCTTAGGAGTACTGCTACTCTCCCCTGTACGGGATGTTAATAGTCCACTGCAGGGTTACCCGGTAACCAATTTATACACCTGGGTGAATAGAGACAAAGTACAGGAGCACCCAACGTCAATTTTCGGAAAATATCCTTTCGGAAGACGATTTGACATCTAGAATTTTCGGAACATTTTTTTCTAAAATTTCTTGCTTGCCTACCTCTCCTAGGATTTTCGAACATCTAAAAAATGGTATAATTGCCCATTTTTAACGGATTTTTACCCTAAAAAGCCCACCTAGAATTTTCGGGAGCCTTATTTCTGGCTGAAATTTTCCAAAAGGTAAGTTTCGATCCCTACAATTTTCAGATCTCTAGACTTTCAGCTAGGAAATCCGTACAGATGAAAAATTTTTAGGGGATAAAAATATGTCTTTATCTACCGTCTTAATACTAAAATACGTTTAACAATGCTATGTTTAAGTGGTTTTGAACTATATTCCGTTGGGGGCCCCTGAAAGTGAAGTAAAGTTTCTTGTCTAAGGAAACAACGCGACGGGCGAGGCTTGAACCCCAGACCTCCAGATCGGGAGTTCGAGGTGTTAACGCTAGGCAACACACGCCCCCTCTCCAATAGCAGTGCAGTGCTTTAATCAATTGAGTTAGCCAGCCAAGTGCAGCTGGCTTTTAAATTGGTTCGTAATAAGTTAACCAAGGAAAGATATCATTGAGTTCTTACCGTAAAGACTTGGACCTCCTTTACCAAACACATTGTACAACACTATATTCAATGGCGCAATAACAGTCCTGCCATAGAAATGAGAGTCTATATAGGCTAGTGGCCCCTGAGAAAAGAAAATTATTCTCCTGATTAGCAAAAATGTCACAAATTTTCACAGGAATGTAAACTTTTACAGGAATGTAAACTTACCAAAATGGCTATCAGTGCTATGAGACATAACTGTACAAAATACATATATTTCGTTTGTCTGATCAAGATATCCCAGGCAATGGGTAATCTGCAATGAACATAATTATGTCTTAGAAATAGATTACTTAATAATGAAGAGTTTATGATTTAAGTTTTTACAACTTCAGATTGCATGTGACATATATAATGTTTTGGCGAACTGCACATAGTTTTATGCTTTTGGCTCACATTAGACTACCAAAACTATTAGACTATGAATATTTTTTAAAACGTATGAGGTACAGTCGACTCCCAATAACTCGAACCCTCGCTAGCTCAAACCTCCTGGTAACTTGAAGTAATTTTTGTTTCCCTTCAGATCATTTCTATAATTTAACCCTTGTTATTATTCATTCAAAATATTTCCCCGATTCTGATTGGCTAAAAGCACACCTTTAATTCACCATAACCAGTTACTGATGACCAAATTTGGAAGAATTTTGTGTTTAACGAGGAAATGACGCCAAAAATGCAGCGTTCTTGCAGGTTAACCTAGAAGACCTGGGGACGAGGTTGAGTTGTTTTGGTTGTGAACTTGAAAAATGGCGGACATTTCACTCGTTTCAAGAGTAAGAACTAGGCGAAAAAATAGCTAAAAACATGGCAAGAACAGCAAGAAGACAACTTGCAGGGCAACATCTGCTCTCCATAATTCTTCATAAGATACTCAGCCTCATTCATTAATTGTTAAATAACTCGAACCATGTTTTGAGCGCACGACAAGTCCAAAGAAACCGTGTACTGAAGTACGAGACATTGAATTTATTTCAAAACAACCATGTCAATTCTTTGTCTTTACGTATTTGTCACTCCAGTTCAAATTCTGTGTCCATCCATCCTTAATTGCATTCGCTCCCCATGAATTTGCTTATTTGCTCATTTCTGATTATTTGCTTCCAACTCCTGATAACTCTAACTTTTTTTTATTTTCCTAGAAGGTTCAAGTTATCGGCAGTCAACCGTAGCTTATTGTTGCTATAAATTGTTATTGTTAGTTAAAGGGTCTTTTTACTATTCTTGAATTTTGTTTCTCTCCACTTACTTTCGGTGGAGAGAAGCAAACAGCTGTGAAGTAAGTCCCCTAATCAGACTAGGGGGTTTTTGAGACCCCCCCCCCCCCCCCNGACTTCTCCTAAAATCTATCCTGACTTGCATGTCATCCTTGACGTTACCATGGCAATTGAATTTTGACAGCCATGTTTAATAAAATTTGCAGATTTTCTGTAAAAACAAAACAGTGTTATTTTTAATGATTGTATCAATAAATTTTATAACATTTCTTATAATTCTGCCCAGAAATTCAAGAATTTGCATCATAAAGATGTCAAGTTATGTTATTGTGTCAATCAAGTTAAGCCTACAGTAGATGATGGGAATGATGGGTACATTCACCTCCTCGAAGCAACAAACCTGATCTGCAGTATTTTATGTAGACTGTAGTACACTCTGCTGGCTAAAGTTTACCAATACAAGCATACCCACCCAAGAACTGCACTAAATGGCCAACCAATAATGGCTCCCGCAGCTGTTGCCAACACTGCAACCTAAAACAGGAAAACAATAACTTCAAATCACATTCATCAGTGAGTTCATATTACAATTATCAAGTAAGTTCTTGTGCACAGAGAATAAATTTTTTACCTTGACAAAACTTTTAGGCATCCAAATGTTAGCTCAACTGAACTTAAATCAAAGTACTGGCTTCTTCTATAATTTCTGGATATTTTGGCATCAACAATCTTGTATTAAAGTTACATTTCCATCCAATAATTTTATATAGACCTACATGTACAGTACCACTCAAAAGTAAGTGATTTAACAGCTCTCTGTGTGTGAAACATATGGTTTGACTGAATGCCTTTGTACACTGTAAAATTTATTATTAAAAAGGGGTCTATGGGCTTATGGACTTTTTCACCACTAACACTACCTTGTTCAAATGCTCATACACTACTTGCGTGAAATTACTCTCCTTTAACATTTCATTGACAATGACTGTCATCACCATTAACTTATATAAAAGAAGAGCTCACGTATTTTACACTGGGTACACGACAGGTTACTCAACAGTTTTATTTAAGCAGTACATTTATCACTACATTTAAAATTTTAAATGACTTAGCTCCTTACAATTTGTCTTCACTACTTGCCAAATATCAACCGGCTTATTTACTCCGCTCATCTAATGGGTTGCTTTTACAAGTTCCTCCTGTTAATACCGTGACTTATGGCTACCACTCATTTTTATATTATGTACCAAAAGTCTGGAACAGTTTACCTAATTGTATCAACGTTTGAAGCAACGTTTGAAAACTTTTCTTTTTAGAAATTAATTATTGTACATAGTTCATTTAGATTTATGGTAAAACTCTTCTGTCTGTGACATCAATACAGTGTATAGGCTTGAAGCTCTAGTCTATTAATCTAAAGTTCCCTGTACTGTTCAGGTACTAAGATGTTGTTTCAGTGACCCAAAGGCATGGAAAGTTACATTGGATCAGTGAGTACACTGCAGCCTCTTGAGCCCTGAATATTTAACAATTAATCGTCGAGCCCGAAGGGGCTATTGCCTCAGAGGCCATAAATTGTTTTAGTAAAATCCAACTAGTTGGTCGAAAATATCGAGACAAAACAATTTTAGCTAGCAAAACGCGATTCAGCCGCCATTGTTTTAGTTTTCAAAGTCAGCACTTTTCGCTGCTATTGGGCTATAACATAACCTAGTAGAAGCTCAACCAATCAGAATGTAGCTTTGATAACACACCACTAGTTGGATTTTACTAATGATGAATAATACCAAGGAATCAATTCATTATGCAGATGAAATGTGAAATGTGACTTACGACATAATTTCCTGCAAACCATCCACCATAAGATAGAAGAACCATGTACATTGCAAATGTGCTTGGAAGAAATGCTACAAACAACAATAATTCACAGCTTCATGAACAGTTTAACCCTTTAAGTGCCAATAGTGACCAAGATCAATTTTCTCCTAACAATATCCACACACTGTCAACAGATAAGTTATGAGAATTAATAGAGTGATCACCCAAGAAAAAATGCCTTGATCTTTTATCAAATTCTCTCAACGCATTCTTTAAGGAAATGTATGGAGATCAGTTTGGAGAACTTGTATGTGGATACTGGGGCTTAAAGGGTTAATAAACACTACACAAGAGAGAACATTCAATCAAAACACATGCATGCAAACACAGCCCACAATACAGTTTTGTTTCGTTTTTGTTTTTTTTAACTTTTTTTTTCTGTAACACATCCTTTCCGATGGATAGTCACTCAATGAATAAATGTTCTTTTAAAACAATGATGAACACAGTACCATAGTTCAGTTGAACAAGATAGTGGGTTCATGCAAGATGAAAAGGCGAAATAAAACTCATGCAAAAAATCATGGCACCGCCTTCATAATGGATAAAGTCAACAAAATGGAACTCATTAGAAACAATATTGGCAGCTTAAGTGCCATGCAAAAAAGGCTTTAGTGACTCTAGATAACTTCGATTCTCCTTCAACTGTGCCTTACATATGTTTGTGAAATGAAAGGAGAACCTTTGATTTGATCATTATTGATCTACAGCCTTTATTTCACACCTTCATTTTATTAAATAAATACTGTTTGAAGATATAGTTATTAAACTGTGCTATAGATTGGTCAGAAACTTTTAAGGACAGAAACCACACCTACTGACAGAATTTATTGCATCAAAAATCAACAAATATATAATGGTAATTGAACTGAGTGGAGTGCAATTTGGTCTGAAATCATACGCGTGATTTCAAAATCGAACGAGCGCGCAGCGCGAGTTCGATTTGAAGTCACAAGTATGATTTCAGACCAAAATTGCACGACACGAAGTTCAATTACCACTTTATTACTTCCATTTTGAAATCGCAGAATTTAGTCAGTACTAATAATTTATTGATCAAGTAGCCGGTTTGTTAAAAAGCCGAAACAAAAAGGCTTTTACATCTCATTTCGTATTCCAAACAGAAATGATGCGATATAGAACAAAAATGGTGCAATTTAAAACAGAAATGATGCGATTTAGAACATGAATGACGCGATTTGGTAAAGATGCGATTTAGAGCAAAAAATGGTGCGATTTAGGAATAAATCACACCGCTGAGAGCCAATCAGATTGCACGGATAGCCAGTGATTTCAAAGTGGATGTAATAAAACCTTTTAATCTGTAGTGTACATTTTTGAAAGTTTTTATAAGATACATGCATAACCAAGGTTTCCACCATAACCTACCAGCTGCAGATATAAACATTCCTGTGCTAAAAATCATAAAGACAGCTGCAATTCTTGCCACATGGTTACCAAACTGCCTCATTATGCCCCTAAAAATGTCCACAAGGGACCAGTGACTTAATACACATACTGTACAGCACTACAGTACTTAACTTATTTTTATTTCTGATAAAAAAAAACATCACTTGACTATCAAAATGGAAACTTCCCATGGTTAAAACTGATGTTTGTAACAAACTATGCAACTAAAGAATAGTCGATAATGTTTACTGATAGTGATGGCTAGCATGGCATGTACATGTACATTGCACGATGTATAATGTGCAACAATTATAAACAAAAATTATTATTCATTCAAAATATCTCCCCAATTCTGATTGACTAAAAGCACATGCATTATTTACCATAGCCAGTTAACAATGACCAAATTTGGAAGAATTCTGTGTTTAAGGAGGAAATGGCGTCAAAAATGCAGCCTTCTACAGGTTAATGCATCGTTAACTGAGCAGACCTGGGGACGAGGTTGAGTTAAGTTGTTTCGTTGTGAAACTAAAATGGCAGACACTTCACTCGTTTCAAGAGTAAGAACTACAGCTGGAACTAGGTGAAATAAAGGCTAAAACTATAGCAAAAACAGCAAGAAGACAACTCGGAGGGCGACATCTGCTATTTGGAGAATATTTTGTGGAGCTGGACAAACCTAAATGTACACTATCAAAGATAAACTTAACATTGATGCAGGTGAGCATGTTTTAGCTATGTTTTTAAACTAGGAATTATTTGAATGAATAATAAAGCAATTAATGAATTCGGCTTTCGTCATCTTCAGAGACCCAGGGGCAGTCAGTTGGGTCAGGAGAAAAGGCGGGACAAAAGTTTCCATGTACGGGTGGAAGAGCCCATGGGTACCGACTCTCACCGAACTATTTCCAAAAATTCAAGCAGATGCCAGCTCCTGATTGGGCACAAAAAAATGCTTTGTATTATTGTGCCCAATCGGCGAACAGTTTCTCCTAAGTTCTTTTCGTGAGTTCATACACTATGGCTATTGTCTTGCCACACTTGCCCGGTTCGTTCACCAAGCTTGTGCATCTCGAAGGGTGTTATCCACCACAGCCTTCTGCCTCGGTGGATAACACCCTCCCCGATCAGCTTAATTCTTCATATCCTACTCAGCTTCATTCATTAATTGCTAATTAATGCATGACTTGCCCAGATGCTAAGCATGCCATTGACAGAGTAAGAACTAAACTAAGTCGTCTACTGAGAAAAATAACCATTCAAGACATTACATGTATATACATGTACATGTGCCTGCCATCTGCATGATAAGAGGTTAGGTATAAAAGTACAGCTGTACCTGTAGAAGTAGGTCTCACAAGCGGCACAGACTATCGACAGAACAAAGCGTAGGAAGTAAAACACCAACAACTGCGATAAAAGAAAAACACAGCAGCACCCTATTAAAATACCATACCATAGCTCAGTACCAACATGAGTTTTTAAACAGGAAAAATTCATGAATCTTTTTTCATGGTCATGAATTTTGCAATTTTATTGTCAATTTCATGGCCTTGGTTCAAGGAAATAAATTTTCCATGAATTGTAAAGATCTGTCTTTTACACAGCCCATGAAAAAGGTTCATGGCCATTTACGTGTAAGGGTTGGCTGAGTGGACATAGTATTGATTTAGCTGGCAAGTGTCCCGGGCCACCCCTTTCTGAATTTTCTGCATCCACCCTTGAAGAACCTCATACTGCAAGAGGTTTGAGAACTGTAAGTACAATTTGTATTAGGCATCTTCTGAAAATACAATGCAACTTTGACAGCGCAAGACATTTAATAGGGAGGCAGATCTACCCTTGATTAGGAGAATCTACTATATTCTAAAAGTAAATTCTTCTTATCATTCAATGATAGCAATGATATTTGACCATTATTAGAAAAACAATACCAGTAATTATCATGTAATATGTATAATGTAGTCCATTACAACAAACACTTTATACAAGGAGAACATAATGACTGTCAAAAGATACATGTCAGTAAATTAATAAATTGTTTTACTTTATTAGCTTCAAATACTCCAATCTGTGCTTTTCCAGGAAGAGTGTGTAAAAGCAAGTATGCATAGGATCTGATCGCATACTTTGGTGAATACTCCCAAGTTTGAAAGCCAGAACCAAACATTAAGAAGTGCATCTGGGGATAATAAGAGTGTTCAAAAAGCAACTGTTATTAATAATCATTACAATTATGAAAAATAATGTGACAATATAATGTTTTTGACTTGCAGAGAAAGGCAGTCAAAATGGGTTATACATGTATGTCCCACAACTGGCATTTTAAATTGGGTCATTTCAGTAATGGTCTGGGTCAAACTATTATAATTCTGAACAACTGACATTATCAAACTGACTTCTCCAGCAGCTTCACCGCCATCCTTATCCAGCCCATCTTCATGCTTTTCAGGTTCAACTGCCAATTTCTTGAGTGTAAAAAATAAACTTAGCTTTTGTTGTCGTTTCATAATGAAACAAAAACAAAAGAACAAAACGAACAAATGAAGTGTATTGATCAGATGCTGTGTAATCCGAGCAAGTGTAAAGAACTGATATTTAGAAAGAAGGAAAGTAGCGGTGCACGCCATCAGTACGCTCCCATCAATAACATTCCTCAATGTGATAGCCTTGTATTGCTCGGACTGACTTTTCAGCCTAATTCTAAATTTAGCGAGCATGTCAGACTCAAGCTTACAAAAGCTAATAAGTGTCTTCACATTCTCAGAACTCTACGAAAGGAACTCTTTAGCCAGAGGAAAATAGATCACTTGTTTAAAACCCTAGTTCTTCCTATTCTCACATATGGTCTCGCTGTGTATGGCGCTTCTGATTCTGATTTAAATGTTATACAGCTTTTTTTAGACAGGTGCCATAAGCGTCATTTTACCTCTCAAACAGTAGGCATCTTTAATCTTTTAGAACAGCAAGATAAATCTGCTTTCAAAAGAGCTATTAATAATCATATGCTAGGTGCGATCATTCCCAAAGAAAAAGAATTAGTACATAATTTCGTAGGAGAAGGTGTCACCTTCCTCAGATAAAAACGGAGAGATACAAGGAAACTTTTGTAAATAGACTTACTTTTAAATATAATTTAGTATAGTATTTTTCTTCTTATATTACTATTGTATTTTATCGTGTATCTTTTAATACATTTCCTCTGTAACTTAGGATATGTATTTTTATCCTTTGATTGGATAAAGACTATTATTATTAAAGACTATTCAATCCGCAAAGAAACATGTGTAGAAGGTCAAAGTGTACGTTCCAGTCTCTCCTGGAATTGCATGGAACGCCTGACCCAAAAACTACTCGTACGTAGGTAGCCTGAAATGACAGTCATTTTGCACATTCATTTTGGGCTTGTAAGCTCACCTATTTTGCAAATAATGTACTTTTATTATTACCACTACGTTGGAAGTACTTGTACATACAAGGTAACTTCTTTTTTTGCACCAGTTTGAATCCACAATAATTTCATTTTGCGTCAGAATAGAATATATCTGTGTCCATGATGCAAAAACGCGGCCTAGATTGAACACTGGAAAGGGGTAAAAAATTAATAATAACAGATTGCTCTCACACATGTGGAAAGAGGTTGGAATGCTTGTCAGAACACAGTCAATTCTCACCTTGTGGACACCTCGCTATTATGGACACCCCAATAACACAGACGGCTGCTAAATCCTCAGTGATAATTACAGACATTTCACTGAAACAAACTCCTGCTATTATGGACTCTCACTGTTATCGACTTACGGACACCTTCCTCAGTCCCGACAGCACAATTTTATTGTTCTCACTCTCGTTTAAACGGACATCAATCAGCATCTTTCGACATTTTGGCAGAATTATCTCCGATTATAAATATTTCTTCCTCTTCTTCTCTTTGTCTCTGTAACTTTAATTGAAAAGTGAACATTCTAATTCCTGTTTAACATGATCCTTTTATGAAACCACTGTACTTACTTGCAAAAAACAGTCATGACGTACTTAATGTACATAACTTGGTTTTTCTAGAATGGTACTTTATGGCTTTTGCGTACTACACATTTTTCAGTGACGGTTGTTGTAAACGAAAGTGAGACATAAGATTTTTTCGATAACCATTTTTCTTGTTTTTAAATAAAGTTCTGATGCTCTCTTTGTGCGAAAAACTGCACTGCAGTTGGCTCTGGAGACAATGTACAAATGTGAATAAATGCAATTCCTCCAATAGCGATGAATTTTTTCTCCAACCCCATTATTATGGACTCTCGCTATTACAGACACTAAACTGCGGTCCCAAGGGTGTCCCCAATAACGGGAGTTGACTGTATTGAGTTTTTTTTACTGTGAAATTGTCATTTAGAATAATCATACTTAAGAACGGTAAATTTGTTGGCTTCTCAAATGCTGTGATTTACTAAACTGTAGATGTTACTTTGACAGAGAACAGGATGGGAGCATGGAGAACAAGAAAATGAAAGATAGGAAACAAACTGATGAGTAATAAGATTACTAACATAGCTAAGGTTTAAGTTAGGTTTAAAAATAAGCTGGTTAGAACAAAAGGGAAAAAATGAAAGATAGGAAACAAACTGATGAGTAATGAGATTACTAATATAGCTAAGGTTTAAGTTAGGTTTAAAAATAAGCTGGTTAGAACAAAAGGGAAAAAATAAACTAGGTTAAAAAATAACCTAAAAATGTATTTGTCCTGTGAAATATTATGTTGTAGCTAATTTTTTATCTCAGGTAATTTTCCTTTTTCTTTTGTTTTGGGGAATGGTAATGTATGTTAATTAAGTTAAAACACAGGAAAAATAAAAAATTACCCGAGATAAAAAATTAACTACAACATATACAGGACAACTTAAAATCTTAGTTACAGCCCAGTGTTGTGTGCATCAGAAAATTGCCATTAAATTTTGTACTTACCGGTTCCCAGTAATTGAATGTTTCATCACAGTCAGATATGTTGCTAAGAAAGGCAGAGCAGAACCTCACTGACAAGAGCAGCTTAAATATTGTATAAGGTCTTGGGCTCCATACAGATTTGTCTGAATAGGCCAACTTTTTTTCACTGCAAAACAAATTACCAATTTTCTGATTGTCAAAAATTTTTCCTTACTTTATTGTCAGACTCAGAAAACCTTGACACCTAAATTAATTAATTCAGTGGAGGGATGTTTATTAATTAGTGACCAATCACAACAAAGATCAGGAGACACAAGCAAACCACAAAACCACGAGCCAATGAAACTCTTTACAAATTAACTTGCAGAGAAATTCTCTGGTTACGATGACTCAGCTTATAAACAAAACTAAAACATTGTTTAGCATCTATCAATGTTATATTGTCTGACCATCTTGAATCAATTGTTCCTAAACTGCATTGAACATTTATTGGTTAATGGCTTCCAGTGCCAAGAAAAAGATATGTGACTTCAAAAGATTAAAAACATTTAGGAGGTGGGTTCCAGTGAAGTTTTACAGAACCAGAAAATTGTTAAGGATGGTGTCCTCTTATTTATGGCCACAGAACTGAAAAATTGTTTTCCATGGCATTTGAAATCCTAGGGCTTGGATTTAGTTTTCTAAAGCCTCAGTGGCCTTTTTACCTTTTTACACGATGAAACCAGACTTTTCAAGTTAGTAACACGACTATGTCGTCAGTCACAATTTCACAACCAATCTCTCACTCTGATGAGGTGACAACTGATTTCTACATGTAATTTGAGGGTTGGTTTCCAAGCTTAGATAGCTAACTCAATCTAAAAAAAACGTGTGCACGCTAATAGCGACGAAGACGATGAATTTGACGTTTACTGCACCAGCTTTAAAATGATATGTGACTTCTTATTCCCATCTTTTTCCCACTTCTCATTACTTTTCCCAGCTCTAGGTTTAGAATCTCGAGATTTTTGCCTCTTGGGGTTTGGAAAGTCTGTAAGACTCCAGAAATAATTCTAGTGTTCCAGTTTTCTGACTTTCAACTAACAAATAATAAATAATAAATTATTATTAATCATTAACTACACAACTTTTGAAACATGTACATAAGGTGCTCAGCTTCACATTCAGTGCAGTTAATTTTTTTCTGCCTTTATACAGGCATGATGGCATCGAGAGGTAGAGAGTATAGAGGAC